TGTGGAAGGGAATTGATATAGATAGAGTAAAGATGGGGACTGAGGACACTGCCCTGCAGTACGCCCGTAAAAGGAGTGAAGAAGTATGATTGATGGTTACCATTGATGACTTGGATATTGACATGATTAAATAAATCTTTCAAAATATTTAACAGTCGAATATTGCAGTGAGGGTACATGGCATCCCAAACAATGTCTCTATCTACAGTGTCGTAGGCCTTTGCAATGTCAAGAAAACAAATCACAGGTGATTTATGATGTTGTCGGGTATATTGATGCATCAATTCATCTAAACAAACGGCTTGATCGATCGCACTCAAGAAGGGTTTGAAGCCTCCTTGGGCTATGTCAATGAAGTCTGTTTCATCATAAAATTGTTGTTGTATGCTATACTCCATTATCTTTCGAAAAATGGAGGTCAAGCTGATTGGTCTGAAATTGGCTGGATCAAGTTGATCACCTTTACCTTTGTAGATCGGGACGACTTGAGAAGTGCGCCAAAGCAAGGGAGTAAATCCAAGAAGCCAGCAGGCACGGAAAAGGAGTGTAAGGGGTTGAGCTATGATATCGGCCACAGGTTTGACCATTTCTGAAAGAATATGATCGCTGCCTGGGCTTTTTTTAGTGGCGAGTTTTTTGATGGAATCTACAATTTGATCTTGCATAAAAGGGCAGTCGTCGAAATTGTAGTCGGAATTAGTGATGTTGGGTGAAGGAAAGGAAGGAAATTGTAGGTGCAAAGGAATGTTTTTGGGCTGAGGTATGTATTTACCATCAAAGATACCTTCGAGGTACTTTGCCATAGTGTTTGCTGCATGCTGAGGACCGTCAATAGATCCGAAGCGGTTGCTATTTTTTTGTCTAGAGTTTATGATTTTTTTTATAATGGGCATAGCCGCAGTAGGATCTTCATCCAGCTCGTCACAGAACTTGCGATATGCAGAGGCTCGTGCTTGCTTTACTGCTGCTTTTAATTTTTTATCTGCATCTTTATACTTACGCCACCAGAGACCTTTTTGGATGCCATAGGCACGACACCAACGAAAGTAACAGGCTTGTCTATAGTTTGATGCAGTCTGTAGAGACTTGTTCCAGAACCATCGCCAAGTTTTCGGACGATAGTCGGATTCGGTCAAGATGTTGTCAAGGGTATAATACAGACAATTATAAAATTGCTGTGTGAGATATTCAAGAGTGGATCTGTTATCTGTACATTGGTCTTGTAATAGTTCTGTTGAAGAAGCTATTAGATAGTTGATGAAATCAGATAACTTGGATTCCAGTTGTGTTTGGTGCAATTGTTGTTTGAGTGTACGGCGATACGCTTGAAGAACATCGAGTTCTTGTAGGCGCACCACTGCGCGGTTGGTTAAGGTGAATATTATGTTTATTTATGCATGGGCAAAAATAAGAATATTGTATACGATCCCATAAGTGGGCAAAAAGAAAAATACAGATATTCGGGATTGGTAGTACAGAAATAAAAACCCAAGAGGGGGGAAAAAAAAGTGCAGAAATTGGTTGCAGAAAAAAGAAAGAGAGAAAAAGAGAGCTAGAGCAAGGACGAACGCAGAACGAACTATCCTCGGTTTTGAAATGATTAGAGGTTACAAGATAGCAGAGGTCAGAATGCTAATGCTTCGGCTAGATGAGAAGTGGTGAGTTGAGCAGCAGAAGAGTGGTGGAATGGGTGGATGTTGAGCATAACAATGAAATGGCTAACAATGAATTTTTTTTTTTTGAAATAAATAAATTTTTTTTGTTTCATTTTTTTTGCTTTTGCTTTTTTTTTTTTTTTTTGCTTTTGTTTTTGTTTTTGTTTTTATATGTATATTTTTTTGTTATTTAAGAAGCCAGTCGTATAGTAGCTGGCCTTTATCAGGCTCAGGCTCGAAAGACTCTTGGCTTTTGTGACAGATTTGATCAACAAGGAAAAGAATATTGAGGAAATCAGTCCAAATTGGTTGCCATTTCTGTAGTAGCTGTTGTTTTTCTTCGACTGTTTTTGGTTTCTTCGTTGGAAGTTGTTTCATAAGCAGGTCGAAAGGGTGTAGGTTATTTGGAGAGACGCGTTGAATGTGCTCCCAGTAGGTGTGAGGTATTGCTGGACAAGTAAGAAGATGGTTTCGACTCATTTCGCCTCCACAATAGCAATCTGACTTTCTGCCAGGTAACCAATTCATCCGCCACCTCAGTAGTCGTCTTTGCTCCTTCCTAGTCATAGGTAAAAAGAAAATAGGGTCTATAGAAAGGTCGTGTCGACAGGCTTGGATCATCTTTTCCGAAGAATTGATGAGGGCCTGCGACCGAAAAGAAGAGAAGATTTTTTTTAGTTTTTTGTTATCAGAAATGTTTGAATTGTCACCAATAAACGAGTTGTGTATTGGATTCTTTTTGCTGATAAGCGACAAGCGACTGTATCTATTGTTGGTAGTGTAGATTTGATGAATCAATGATTCTGTTGGCAGCCTTGTAAGGCGCAGGTTGTACTTGGTGTTGAGAGCATGCCATCGTTCTACCATGGTGGGCAGGTTGAGCATGACTCGAAAGGCCTTGACTGAGGAGGTTGAGTGACCACCGACGATGAGACGAAGGCAATCATCTTGCATACGCTCAAGAGCGGGCATGTTGGTGTTGTTGATATTGGTGATGCAGAGGCCATATTCTATCTGAGGACGAATGAATTGTCGATAGGCTTGCATGCTTAGAAGAGGTGAAAACCCGTTTGACCGGGCGCCAATGTTGTGAAGACGGTGCATGGACTTTTGCACCTTGTCCTTGGTGTAGTTGATGAACAATTGAGTGTCCATCCCACGAAAGTTGAATTGCATGCCAAGATACTTGAAGGTATCAGTAGCGGGTATAGGTGTGTTATAAAGAGTGTAAGTGGTTGAAGGAGAGGAGGGTGATGATATGATGGCGCATTTGGATGGCGACCATCGATAGCCGGTAAGGATTGAATGTTGTTCAGCTTTGTTGAGTAGATGCTGCATTTGATCAGGATCAGCGAGCAGAGCTACGTCGTCGGCAAAGAGAAGACAGTTGATGTTGTTGAGCGGTGTTGTAGGGGATGTTGAGAGGGAGTTGGATCTAAGAATTTGGGGAAGGGAGTTAATGTATATACTGTATAAGTGGGGGCTGAGGATGGAACCTTGCAGCACACCCGTCAAAGGAGAGAAAGAAAAGGATTGGTAGTTATCATTTATGACCTGTACCTGTACATCATCAAAGAGGCTTTTCAGCATTTTCAGTAGTAGGGGGTCACAGTGAGCATGGATAACATCCCAGATGATATCTCTATCCACAGTATCGTATGCTTTTGCAATGTCAAGGAATGCAATAGTGGGATATTTATAGTGGGTCTGGTGATAGCGGTGAATCAGCTCGTCTAGGCAAGCAGCTTGATCAGAGCACTAAGGAAAGGCTTAAAACCCCCTTGTGCATATCAATAAAATCTGTTTGGTCGTAGAGAGGTTGTTGCAGACAGTATTCCAAAACCTTTCGAAAGACCGAAGTCAAACTAATCGGTCTATAGCTTGAGGGATCCAGAGGATCACCACGCTTAAAAAGCGGCACAACTTGTGAGGTTCGCCAAGCTGTAGGGGTATACCCGGTAAGCCAGCAGGCGCGGAAGAGGTTGGTGAGGATAGGACTGAGGATATGTGCAGCAGGTGACAGCATCTCGGATGTAAAATGATCTTTACCTGGGCTTTTGTTGCGAGCAAGCCGTTTTATGGCTGCCTTAACGAGATCGATAGTGAACGGACTATTTTGAAGATCATATTCAACTCTATCAGAAACGTTAGTATCCATATGTGTATTAGACCTGTGGTGTGTAGGTAGATTTTTTGGCTTGGGTATAGTGTTGCCGTCATAGATGGTTTGCAGAAAACTAGCCATTTCATTTATGCCTTTTGAGGGCCTTCTGCACTGCTATATCGATGCTTGCTTCGAGTCTTGGACTGGACAATTCTCTTTATAGTAGGCATAGCGGCTATTGGGTCGCTGTTAAGATCAGAGCAAAATTTATAGTAGGCGAGCGCTCTTGCATGGCGGACTTCTGTTTTCAATTTGTGATCTGTCTGTTTGAATTTTTGCCACCACACAGGCTTCTGTATACCAGTCGACTTGCGCCAGCGAGTATAACAGGCCTGGCGGAGGTTGGCTGTCTCTTGTAGTTTTGGATTCCAAAACCATTTCCAAGTTTTTGGGCGAGGAGTAGCAGGTGTAAGGATAGTGTCCAAGGCATAATAAATGGATTCATATAGTAATTGGCATAGGTGTTCAATAGTATCGGCATTAGCCTGTTTATCGTCATCGGTAAAAGGAGTGGAATGGGTTTGAGCTAAGAAATCTGCAAATCGACGAGTGAGGTGATTGATATTTTTGCTGTAAAATTGTTGTTGCATAGTCTGAATGTAGGCTGTTCGAACAGGCATTTCTGCAAGTCTACTAAGCTTCCATCTGTTCCGTAAAGGCTCTGGAGGGGTATCATCACGCACGTCATGGTCTATCCAAACAAAGGAGAAAATCATGAGCTTGTGATCAGATCCAAGAACCGATAGGTCAGTTCTAATGTCTAATTTTGGCTGTACAAGAGTGGATTGTGAAATGAAATAATCAACAATGCTCGTTTCAGTAGTGTTGGATCTTTCTTTGTAAACCACTCGAGTTGGCTTGGCATATTGAAGGAGTGAATTATAGTCAATGAGTGAGTGGGTATCTAAATAGGCGGAGAATTTGTTGCCTCGAGTATTCCATCGACTATCCCCAGTACGCTTACCCATGCGGGCATTGAAATCACCGCAGAGAATTGTGTTGGGAGTGAGTGTAATAGATTCAAGAATCTGCATAGTTGTTGCATTATCTAAAGAAGGTGAGGGGGGTAAATAGACACAGTGAATTTTTAGATTGTCTAAATGACAAGTCATAAAGTGTTTTGATTTTTGTGTGTCTACATGTATTTTGCTATATTTAAAGAGAGGGTTAATAAAGAGTGAAATGCCCATTTGACAACGGTCAGAATTTACGACTGGTTCGCCATAAATATGATACTGTTGCCAATGGGTGGGTATAGTTTTATCTGGAGGGAGCCAGGTCTCTGTTATAAAAAGGATATCGATGTTTTTACAGTAATATAAAATAGAGTCAATGGCTTCTTGACGAAGTTTACCATTGGCATTTACACAAGCTATGCTGAGTTTCCTCATTATAACTCGGTTTCCATATCAGTGTTTGTGGCTGTTGGTGCAGGTGTGGTGCCATTGTCAAGGACAGCAGGTGACACGGAAGGAGTGGAGGGGGTGACACTAGTAGTGGTCGAGTTAATTACTGTTGCAGCTGAGTTGGCTGCTTTTTTGTTGTACTGTTCCAAAAACTGTTGATGTTGTGCATCGGTGATGAGGTTCTCCTTGCGGAAGAATGCTGCTACAGCTTTTGAGATATGATCCCTGATGAAAGGAAGCGCACGAACAAGTCTTTGGTTGTGTTTGTCTGCTGCAATTTTTGTTTTTTCTTCAACAGACATGGTGTTGTATTCAACATTGGTTAGAATGCTGGGGTCCAATGGTGAGAAATCGTTCAAGGGATCTACTTTGGATTGTTTTAACGTGCCAATCAGTTGTTGACGGTAGTCGTTGTGAACTAAAAGGGCAACTACGTTACGTGAAGGATAATGGATATCCAACACACGTCCGTTGGTTACACCTAATGTCTTTAGGTGCTGTCTCTGTGTTTTTCTGCTGAGTCTTGATTTAGAAGGATAATAGACATAGCTAAAACCTTGTTGCTCAGTAGGTGGTTGCGTGAAAGCTCTGACAGCTGTAGAAATATTTTTTTTGTTAGTAGGTTTTTGTGTGTTTTTTTGTTTTTTTATGAGTATTTTTCTGTAGTTTAAGGGTGTTACCGTACGCTCAGCAAGACGCTTCTTGACATCAAAAGAATGTGCGTACTTGGACTGGGCAGCACCAAGGGGAGGATATTCAGCATCATCTACCATAACAAGATCATCTTGGTCTGTTTGTTGCTGTTGTTGTTGTTGTTGTTGTTGTTGTTGTTGCAATTCAATAATTGCTTGCTGTTTTTGCTGCTTTAACAGTTGTTGTTCAAGCTCGGCGTTTTTTGTTGCATATGTTTGCAATTGGCTCTTGATCATCTTGTTTTCTCTTTCAAATTCAGAGAGTTTATCTTGGAGAGACAAGAGCATATCTTTTAAAAGTGCAATTTCCTTGTCGTTAATTGCACTGTGAATGGTGTTGTTGTTGTTGTTGTTGTTGTTGATGAGTTGACCACTCTTTACTGGAGTGGCAATAGGTGTACCTTTTTGTGAGCCATTGCTGGCATCACTTGCGACTCTGCTTCGCTTTTTGGGCTGTCGAGTTGCGCTGGTGGCTTTGGTAATGGTGGTTGTGGCACCACGTGTAGAGGCATCAATGGCCTGTTCAATCTCCTTTTCGACCACTGGAAAAGAAGGCTTTTCGTGACACTTTGTGCATTGAAACACAGGGAGTGCAGGTTTGGTTGTGTTGTTGGCAATATATCCAAGTGTGCCAAATTCAGCGCAAAAGGTGCAGCTGATTAAATTATGGTACTTGAAAAATTGCTGCATGATCTGTTGAGCATGAGGCGAGAGGTCAGGGATAGACGCAGGGCGAGTATCTGACATTTTTTGGTGAATTAATTTTTTTTTTTTTTGTACGTGCTTTTTTCTTGTTTTAGTAGGTGTTTTTGTTTGAGCTAATTAATTGATTGGTGTGGAGACTATATCTATTTTTACTGAAGATAAGGATGTTTTCCAAAAGTAGGTGTTGATATGGGAGAGTACGGGATGTAGGGTGATGGTTTTAAACTCCGATTTTCTTATAAAAGGGGCTCTTTTATATGCGCGACCTTACTCGGTTCTTAACCTCGCGCGGTTGGTTAAAGTGAATATTAATTTTTTATTAGATATCAAGCTAATAATACTATTGTAAGACGATCCCATAAGTCGGGCAATAAAGATACAAATAGCAGATTTTAGGTAGTTAGTAGTTTGAGCAAGCAGAAGAAAAAGCGTGGAGGATTTGACTGGACAGAGGTACTGAAGTGGGTTTCCCAGGCCCAAGCGGATTCGATGTATTACGACAGCACGGGATTAACCAGCAAACGACTTGCATTAAAAAACTCGTGGTCTTGCTCAGAATCGAACTAGCGCCAGAAGCGCGACGTAGATATTTAGGCAGTGATTTAACCAAAGGGAAAAAGAGCACATGCCCGCGCGGTTGGTTAAGTGGTATAATCTTCGCCTGCCACGCGAAGGGCCGGGGTTCGATTCCCCGACCGCGCAAATTTTGCTCTTTGTCACTTTTGCCACAGGTTAAAGTTTGATTTTTATACTCTTAGAAGAGAAAGCTATAAGCACCAGGTATTAAGTCGTCCGACTATTCTATTTCTACAAGCTGCTATAAGATAAAGATAGAGATTGCTTTAACTTGAAGAAACATAGAACTATAAATATTGCTGTGAGATTTTAATATCACGTACAGATATTTATGGCTAATTGACCAAAATACAGATACAGTAGTTGTTATAGATCTTATGCTCGTTCCATCTATTCTTCCTGGAGAGATTGATTCTAATCCAATGATAAATAAAGAGACATCTTAGACGGTGGTAACCGACTCAGTGACTCTTGTTACTCAGACCTTATCATGATGGATGAATTATTGAGATCAACAATGCTTGATCCGATTTGACGTGACAATGTAAATGGCATGTGATGTCTTGCACTATGGCGGGAAAGTTAGTTACAAAACGTACAATTTTTGTTCGCAAAATGACCACTTTTTACAGCAAAATGGTTGTTTGAGAAATAGCTGGCATCAATTTTTCAACGTACAAAGTTGTTCGAAATGTTACCAAATTATTTGTACGCTTTTCGAACAACTTCAGTAACAAAACAACTAAATTTATTGTTCGCTTTTCGAACAATATTAGCAACAAAACAGCAATAACTTGCTTACTTCTGGAACAACTTTGGCTACAAAACAACCAAGTTTTTTGGTGCTTTAGTTACCAACATTGTTCGTAATGTCACTTATTTTTCTTAGGATTACTAGAAATTAGACGCTTATTATAAATGGAAAAAAACGATACTTTTATTGAGAAATAGTAAAAGAAAAGAAGCACTATTTGAGTCTAATAAAAACAAAAATATAAAAGCGAAGCAAGAGTGTTAAATGAGCAATTCGCTTTGTCATTCTGAATTGAGACAACACCGATAGACACAGAAAATAATTTGTATGTAGTATATGGTTTTTTAGTAAAAAAAAGAAAAAAACCACCATCTTGCTATCCATCAAACTTACCTGACAAAGTGCATGTCTTGTACGGATAAATAGTCAATTCCTTTAGAAGGGCATTCTTTTTTGAGAGAAAAAAAAGTTAGTTTTGAGTATATTGAAGGTGTGTAATAACATATCAGACTTACTATAAATCAAGAGACAGCAAGAACTTGTTTTGGAATCTAGAAAATAAAAGGCGCTATGTTAGCTTTCAAGTAGCAAAAATAGAACAATTTATAGATTAAACATACTTTGACTTTGAATGAAAGCAGACTAATCTCATCTAAACATATAGAACAAACAAACTAATTGAATTAGAACAAGGCAATGTCTAAACTCTCTTCCAAAACAACACTCACCAGTACCAGGACCAGGCGATGTGACATTTCATGTCAAAACTTGGAACAAAAAGAAAACAAGTAGCTCTTATATGTTTACTTACACTCTAACTCTGGTTTCGACTTTTGTTTTTTATCTATATAAAGGCCCAATAGTATATCAATTTTTGTCTATGGCTATGTTAGAGAAAAAGAAACTTTACTGCGGAAAATGCGTTCTTCCATACCAATCAAAGAGGAGCGCAGCAATTCTTCAGATTGTTAAAAAAGCGCTGGAAGTACTGTCTACTTCTTAAGATGAGTAAGCCCATGAGTCGATGTTATGCAATCATAAGGTTTCAGAGAGTTTAAGCTTCTGGATGTAGGTTGAATTCAGGAGCTGTGAACTTTATCTATAATACAAACGTCTTAAGAGAAGGTGATGGAAAAAAAAATTGTTTTATTATTGTATTTTTCAGCAATTAAGAGACAGTCTCAGAGAAAATAAGAGAAAATTTTAGATCAATTAAGAGAAAACTGACCAATAAAGTAAGAGAAAAACTCAGGAAAAATCAAGAGAAAAAAAAAGGGGCAATTAGTAGAAAGCACTTTTCTCACTATTATTAACAGAAAATGGGTATTGACTATGATATGGACGAGATCTCTCTACGCGACGAAGATATTGAAGCTGTACCCGAGATTATTGTCAGTGTAATGTCGATGATGAGAAAGAAGTGGGAGTATAACATCACTGCATCAGCCATGGAGTTAGATGAAGATGTGACGATGGAGCTGAAGGAAGGGCACGAGGGTGATGAGCCCAGTAATAGCTCGGACGAGGAGGAAAATGAAGCTGATGTGCAGAGTAGTGAGAGCGATTTGAAAGAAGAGAAGCCTCTCAGAGACCTGACTGAAAAAAAAAGACGACGCTAGCAATGCTAGACGTGTATACACTCAGCAGGATATCAACAAGCTTATTGCTCTGTTACTTGAACAGGTACCTATAAAGAATGCTGTTGTGAACATATAGAATCTATATGCATATGATGATCTGACATTAAATAAGTCTTCATTTACATACTAAAAATATATCATAATCAATTTACATCAGAAATAGGCATAAAAGAACCTCTTGTACTGAATAAGACAAAGTATCTTTTAATAGATCAAGACGTATAACCGAAGTCCATAATTTACATTATTTAATTAATTTAAAGTAGTCTATGATAATAGAGACTCAGTCATTTGCATGAACTCTACTACTACTTACTCCGACATCTCTTCATGTATAAATATGCTAGAATAATTTATAATCAAAAAGAACAACAATAAAATTGTATAGAACAGTCTCAAAGTATCTACCTTTGTCTCACTATCATCTTATTATATAGCTCTATTATCAAAATATCACATTTTTTACTTTGAATTCTATTTTTACAATGTCCAACCAAAATATCAACTCTGGCTTTCGTTCTTCTTCGCCTGCTCCTGTTTCTCAAGAACACTCTCCTGCTCCTAGTATTCCTACTGTAGATGAAGCCATGGATCTTAGACCTGATTCTTTTGAATCTCAAGAAAATGTGCCTATTGACATTGAAGAAGTAACATCTGCCAGTCTTGCTGCCACTGCCAAAGAGAATCTGGACCGTCTCAAAACGGAACTCAAGATTGCTTATGGTCACTACCTTGCCTACCAAAAGGTTCATCCACAAGCTGAAAATACCAAGCATGCTTATGAAGTCTATAAACAAGCCGAGGTCTTGTACAAAGAAGCAGACGAAGCTTATAAGGTCTTCTTGGCTATGGAAACTCCCAACATGCAATAGACAAGAGAAGTACTTTGGTTCCAGCTGGTCTTCCTTTCTTGCAGCTCAAGACTGATACAGTGATTAGCAAGAAAAATCAAGAAGTCTTCGATTCTGTCTACGATTTCTGTATGCAATTTAAGACTGTCTTGGAAGCCCACTCGTTGAATATGGATGACAACTGGGAACGTCTTTTGCCTATGTCTCTTAACAAGGAAGAGAAATCTTGGTTTGATGAAAAATTAAGAAACAAATGTCTGTCCTGGAGGGAAGCTGAATCGATGATCTTGGATCATTTTGATACCCCCTATCGCAAGTTTTTGTTGATGGTAAAGGTGTGGTCCCTCAAGCAATCCCATGGTAAATCAACTCGTTCCTTTG